GACTCGAGACAATGACTATGGGTACGTTGAAATGGAAAGCATTCCAGATCATGAGGGAGATGATGATATTGATGACTTCCAACACCATCAACGAGAAGGATTGCCTGATAAGGGGAACTTAGGGGAGATCCAGAATAAATCAAGGTTCAGGTCTGATGAACATGTTGATGAAGATCGAGACAGGAGTTTGGGGGGATTTGAAACAAGGAATACAGTGGAATTGAAGGATAAATACAGTAGCAGAACTTTGGCTCCCAAGGATGGTACAGTTTCCCAATCACCTCAAGATGCTATAAAAAAGATTGATAAAGAGAAGGTTAAAGCAGCTCTTGAGCGGAGGAAAGCCCGTGGAGACATAAATCGTAAAACAGACCATATGGACGAGCTCGAGAGAGAACTGGAGGATGTTGAATTGCCTGGTGAGTTCGACAAGATTAAGCTAGAAAACAAAAGGAGCTGGTCCAAATCTACAAACAAGTCAGAGCACGAAAACTCCCATCGCCCTTCTGGATATGGGCATGCGGATGATTTTCACACTGTAGAAGAAGGGGAAGTCGAACCATTTGATGACGACAGGGGATATCAGTCACCAAGGTTAGCCAATCGTAAGAGGAAGGCTGGTAGCCCTCTAGACAAGAAAGTAGATGGAAAGCTGCGAATTGATTACATGTGTGGGTCTCAAACACACCATTGACTGATCATTCAAGCTTGACTGTTCAACATGCTCCAAAGAATGTCAAATTGATCAAGTATTTATTGCACCGACTCGAAGAAATGGTCGACTACTTAGCTTGGCAATCTTTGCCAAATGTTTATTGAATAGCTCCATAAAATAGTCGAGTTAGGTGACTCTTAATTGGACGAATGATCGAATCGATCAAGTTAAACGTGTTTTTCACATGAGAATAATACTAGGAAAGATGGGACATCATTTGAAATGAAGTCAGATTCTCAATTGATCTTAAAAAAATATTTCTCATTTTCATGCACCTTTTTTTACGCGTTTTCTGTTCTTTCTTCGAAAGTCACCTCTTATGTAATAGAATTACCTCAAAAAAATTGAAAAGGTTTTGGCAGTAATTATGTCGCCTTTTACCTGAACTTATTTATTTATTTTTTTACATACTCATTTTCTACCACATATTTACATATAAAATTTTATCTCTATGTAAATTCAAAATTTTTTTCTACTTTTTAATCACATATTTTCCTAAAAATTACATTTAAAAATATTATTTTTCCCAAATAATGG